CTCGGCCGCCCCGCGCGTCGCTACTCGGTTGGTCACCTCATCACCACTCGACCGCCCCACGCGTCGCCATCGGTTGGTCACCTCATCACCACTCGGTCGCTCCACGCATCACCTCTCAGTTGATCACCTCATCACCACTCGGCCGCTCCGCGCGTCACCTCTCGGTTGGTCACCTCATCACCACTCGGCCGTCTCGCACGTCACCTATCGGTTGGTCACATCCTCGCCACTCGGCTGCCCCGTGCGTCACCACTCGGTTGAACACATCTTCACCACTTTGCCACTTGCGCGCCTTCAGATAGCTAAGTTGTTTTATAGCTAAGTCGTTTACACCCCCAGCACAGGAACGACTAAGTTACTCATATGATCAACTTCATATCACACTCTGTAGCAAGCTTACCTCTTTCGAGCATCACTCGGGGATACGCACAGCCGTTGGCCATGTTTCCCTTAGGGGTTATGCTCATTCGATCAACCCATTGATCGCATCAGGAATATCTTTCTGACCATACATGCTCGTTCCGCCGAAAATCTATAATGGTAGTACTGTCCACTCAGACGATCACCCAAATCATTCTTGAAGTCATCTTCAGACTGCAAAAGGGTGAAAACGACACTCCTCTACGGATACACTTGGCCCTTATCCTAGGCCCCAAGGCGTCAGTTTCACAAACTTGGACTCAGAGATGGCATGTGCTGGTGTTCCCCCAGGATAATGAGTGGCATCTCTCCGGAGAGTCAGCCCACACACTAGCCTCGCCACTCGGGTTTCATGGCACGTCCATGTCAGACCACTAGTCTATCTCCTCCGGGAGACATACGAGTGCCACCAAGTTTTTCCTTACAGTCAACATACCCCGATGAGTTGGGAAGCACGTCCACTCGGACAAATACCCCTTTCACGCAAAATTTAACAGTCAATATAAGAAGTACTACTGGAATGATTACTCCCTGGAGTGTCCAGCTTTTTTCTACAGTCGTCAGTTTCAAAGCCGATTTCATTCACCGTGTTGAGAGCACGAAGATTCAGCTGCTTGACCGAGTTCCAAGCTGAATTTATTCCATACCGAGTGCACGAAGATCAGTCCGACTGACTCAGCTCTAGGCTGAGCTTACTTACCATGTCAAGCGCCTGAAGATGCATCCGATTGACTCAATTTCAGACTAAAAGATATTTACCGTGTCAACTGCGTGGAGGTTTACCAGGACACTTAAACCCTCTGCCAGGCTCATCTAGTCCGATAGAGGCTCGGAGACTACACCCAGTGGGTGCACTCAGCGTGCCCCCACTAGAAGAGAACTCGGAAAGAAACACTTTGCTCGATGCAAAACCAACTCCAGAATTACTCGACCTCCGAGTTAGAGAAGAACAAGTTCGATCAGTACCAGCTAAGAAGATTTTTAGTTCTCTGAGACCCCCGCCGACTGCCCGCAGTCGACGGCGGTCTCAGGGACTACACCCAGTGGGTGCACTCAGCGTGCCCCCACTGGAGTAATCTCCACTCGGTACGGCCTGACCAGTCCGAGTGATGAACAACAACAAAAAGGACAGACTCTAAGACTCCCGCCGACTGCCCGCAGTTGACGGCAGTCTCGGGGACTACACCCAGTGGGTGCACTCAGCGTGCCCCCACTGGAATGGTATCCACTCGGAACGGTCCGCCCGGTCCGAGTGACAGCCAAACAACAAAAAAATACACGTTCCAGGCGTGAAGAAATTCTGAGTAATCAGTTACTCAATGCAGGACCAGCTCCAAATCACTCCAAAAAAATTGCTATAAGGTGAGTTTAACGCTCCTCCGCGGACCCGTTTGAGCTCATTTCACTCGGACACCATACAGTCTGGAATCCGTCAAGGCAACATGCGGAGATAAGATCGCCGGGTGACCAGAGGGAGTTCATAAGTGCCTCCGTAGCACTCGACTCATCTGGGAATTCACATAGACTCGACCCGCTCAACCTCGACCGATTCGGGGGCTAATGACGAGGACATGTATTGGGGGTAGGGTAACATGCCTGACGTAAAGGCCCTACCCATGGACACCGTATACTCTGTACTGGGCCCCTGGGCCAGATCGCCATCCAGATGTACCACAACTTGAAAATCACTCGGACGGCGACAACCACTCGGAGCACGACACTTCACTCGGCGAGCTCATTCCACTCGACCGTGTAACTCACTCGGATATGCAAAGATCAATAGTCAGCATGTAACATAAGAGGTGAGGGGGTGGCGCACTCTATATAAGCCACCCCCCACCACTAGACTAGGGGGCTCTTTTCTTCCATCTCTCTCTCTTTTTCACCATTAGTCTCAGGACTACGGGGATCTGTTCCCCTCTCATTGTAATCTCCGGATACATACTAAGATAAAACAAAGCCTCTCCGGAGCACGAGACGTAGGGTTGTTATCTCCACCGTGAGAGGCCCGAACTCGCTAAAACCACCGTGTCACCCATATGCATCTCGATAGATCATGCTTCTTTATCCTACCCCTCTTTTATTGTCAGAATCGTTACCACGACAGCACCTCCCGCCGTCCAGCCCGCCCCCGTCTATCATGCACCGCCGGCCCACCTCTGGACACCGCCGGCCTACGTGGACCTCGTCAGCGACGGCGACGACGCCGACGGCCACTGAAGACGGCGACAGCATCGAACGGGCACGGGCAGGAGCGCGCTGGCGGTGGCCATTTTTTTTTCTTTTTTATGTTTAATTATGTCAGGCTGGAATTGAAACTGAGCCGTTTTGTGGCCATGGACCCTAACTTAAGTTTTAAGTTTTTTAAACTGCGTTTATTTACATTTTTAAGTCATTTTGTTTAAGTTTTTATGTTCTTTTTAAACACGTCCAACACAGACAAGATTTGGGGTGCGGCCGCGCGGTGGGCGCTCGCATGACCCAACGGAAAGAGACGGACACGGGCGAACCCATCAACGCCTCAAAGGGACAAAATTCGGCCAAAACGGACGTCCGTTTAGGGTCGTGCGGTGTAGTTGGCCTAAAAGCGTGGATTCCAGCTCCGAGTATATATCATATCATTGCAGCAGCCTTATGATTGCGAATTCGGCACCACCAACAACAATACTCACATTATAGTACACAGCAACAGCAAGATCCTCAAAACCCACCTGCAAAGATACGTACTTTGCATCATAACTGAATAATATACCACTACTACTACACCACCGAACACCAACACTGCTAGTTCAAACTTTCTCTTTGTCCCAACCCCAACACTGAGATGCGGAGGTACCAACCTTAATCTCACTAAAAACATGAGTTAAAACCGGTAATTTGCAGGCGCTCATCTTCCGGCGTTGAGCTGTCGAGCTTGAATAATCTAGCAACCATCTGATGAGACGAACTTGAGCTCTAAAATACAGGCCACACGTCGGCCGCATCAGCTGCTGACTTCGGCGATGCTGTGCAGAGACGGGCGCCACTGGCGATGCCTCGAGCCTTTCGTCGAGCTGCCCGGGTGGCCATCCCTGTCCTGCTGCTCCAACTGCAATACACACGACGGGCGGCAGCAGAATAATCAGAACATGCCAATTTGCCATGTTGTACCAAGTTTAAGGATCAGAGTAATCACTAATTAGTACATGCCACTTTGCCATGATATACTAAGTTTCAAAGATCGTAATGAGTGACGATTCCCATGAGTCTTGGGGGAATAAATAGTGAATGATTCCTTGTCCACTAGTAGTTGTAGGTAGGCGCCATATTCTTCATGTATCTGGCATTGCGATTGGAGAATGTCAACCTAGGTAGCTCGCGGGATTTTGTTTGGGCGGCGGCAGGAACTTCTAGGTATCCGTCGCTGCCGTTTCCATGTGGTGTGAGCAAAGCAGGATGTGGCCTAAAGTATAGTTTAGCTCTGAGTGGGAATAATGTGCCCGTTATATGTATGAGGAGCTATCATATCGTGTTTAGAGTAGTACATTATTCGAGTCGTCATTGTGTCATGATCGGCTTAATGTATGATATCTTTAGTAAATCAAAAATGGTTGGGCGGTTAGGTACTATTGTGTCATGCATAACTCATACTAACTATATGATAGTAAGGTACTATAAAATTTGGGACGGTGGCCAACTGAGCAAGAAAAATAACAAGTGCAATGGTCTATGGTCAAAGGTACCCCGAGTTAATTAACACCAAACTGCAGCATCAGCAGGTTAACTAACTAGGCAGTTACCTACTCTTATGTCACAATCAAGAAAAACCTCTTTTCATATTGGAGATTGGATAAGGAGTCTAAATACTCTTGTGAACTTCACAAATTTGAAAATTAGAAGTACATAAATACAAATTTTGGAAAAAACAAACGATGGGAGCAAAATCGCCTGCCTTATTTCGTTAGATACAAAAGTTTTAGAGACTTAGTGATGACATGTCTTGATCAATTGCAAATATGCACTAGTTCGAAAAAATATTGATCTCGATTAACTGCACATATGCACTAGTTCAAATTAAAAATGAGGAGGTAGTGGTAGTGATTAGTGAAGAGCTGGAATGAACCAGCGAAGAGGGGGAGACCACAGAGCAAAGAAAAAGAGTAGGTTCTTCTTGTACATGCAAAGTACTATTGGTTGATTATTGACCATTAAGGGGAAGAACATGCATGATACAGAAGCAAGGAGCTGCCATCGATGAACAGCGAAAGAAACATGGGTGTCAGTAATGAGCAAGAAGGTACTATACCTGATCGAGACCGTCGTCCATGAGGGACTGGTCGTCGCCGGCGGAGGCGGGCCCCCCGGCGGCCTGCTGCCGCTGCCGCTGCGCCCGCCTGGTCTTCTCCTCCTTCCTGGCCTGCACGGCCCTGGTGACCTCGTCGACGGCGATGAGGCGGTAGGCGTGGCCGAGCTGCAGCGTGTCCCGGGGCTTGAGCAGCTTCACCCGCGTCAGCCGCACCGCGCCGCGCCGCTGCTGCTGGCCGCCCCCCTCGGTGACGCGGAGGGTGACGAGCGCGACGTAGTGGCCCGGGTTGGCGCGCATGACCTCGGCGGCGCTGGTGGCCCAGTAGAGCCGCTCCACCCGCCCGCCGCCCGGGTGCTGCACCACCACCGTCGCCTCCTCCGCCGCCTGGCAGTTGCCCATCGGCGTCGGCGCTCCCTGCTTCTGGGCAGCCTCGTGAAAGGGGTGGGTCGATCGACGGGGGTGAAAGAATAGGAGGGCGGCGGCGGTGGAGGCGGGCAATGATGCTGCTGATTTATGGGGGCGGCGCCCGGTGGCGGTGGGTGGTCGGGTGGTACTAACGACCGAGGTGACGCTGCATGCTACCGCCTGCCCACTACTCTCGGGTCTGGACTCTGGTTGGGTGTCGCCCGCCGCTCGTCGAGCCTGCTGCTCTTGATGTTTGGCTCGAAGGGTTCGTCGTGTATCTTTTTTTTTTCCAGGGAATTATGAGCTTTATTCAAATATAAACGCATTCATTGGTCAGTCAGCCAGAAGGCTACTGATCAGGAAGCTCGGAGTTTCAGTAAGCCAACTTTCAGTCACAGTCACAGTACAAGCGCGTTTTGCACAAAGATGAGCTGAAACGTTGGCATGTTGAAATACAAAAGAAGTAAAACTAGCAGAAAGCTCACCAATGTCTTGAAGAATTGGAGCCACAACTGAACGACTGTTGCGACGAGTGTTCCAGAGGTTGATGTAACGCCTCAAGACCGGAGCTTCAGTTGCCTTTCAGGGTTTCCGGGTTTCGTCGTGTGTTTTGTTTGGTCCGCTGCATTTCATCTTTGCATCATGTGCATTGTATCATGTCATCATGCAACCCGTTTTAAAACTCAACTAAACAAATGGTATGGATCTTTGATCCATTTAAATCGAGGGAATTCACATGGTGATTCTCTCCTCATCAACCCAGGGAGAGGAGCTCCTACCGAAACCCTTTCTCATCATCGCCGTTCGACGCGGTCGGAGCAACCAGCCGGCTTGGACGCCCGACCTCGCTGCCATCCTGGAGCTCGTCCGCCTCCCCATACCGCCGCCCTGGCCTCGGATCCGGCGGGATCTCGTTCGGTCGTCCCCGCCGCCAAGTCCATCGCCGGAGCCGCCGTCCTCTGCCACACCATCGCCGCTTGTTCTGCCCATCCCTGCACCGGACCCCGACGAGCTGGCTGCCCCGTTGGCCTTGCTGCCTTTGTCGTGGCCAGGTCAACACAGACACCCGGAGTCCATCTTTGGTTGCACGCCAAGTAACACGGCATACGGCGCCCGAACGACCACCGAACCGGAAACGCCAAGTATCCCTACGCGTGAAGACGCCAAGTCCGTTTCGGGATTCGTCAAGTACCGCTACCGATATGGCTCGAACGTCTACGAAACGTGTACCACTACCGTCGACCCCGAAGCCCTCGGATTCGTCAAGTCCGTAGGTGCAAGTACCTCTTCGAACGAACGTGAACGACTACTTCCACTACCGCCGTCGCGAGAACGCCTACTTCCCTCTACAAACTTGATCCGTCCCGTTTGCACGCTCCGAAGGTATAACCCCGAGACGACGCCCGTGGACCGAATGCTTGTGTTGTATGAGATGCATGGTTGGTTGTTGTTTTCGCTCGTGAACCTTAGTTGTTCCTCCTCGTTGCCATGCCGTCGACACGTGGGAACCCGGTAACTGGGAGCACCCCACCGTTCTTCGCATGACACGCTCCCGTCATTTTCTTTGCACCGATGTCTCAATCGAGTTTCTGGAAACGGAACGTTGCCGTGGCACCGTTTCCGTTATCGTCGCTGTGGCACCCTTTCTTTCCGCCACGATGACAAATGCCTCATATCTTTTCATGTCAACATTTTCTTGAAATTGCATAAACTTGTTTATGTCATCCGCATCATGATAAAAACAATTAAAATGTTAAATTGTTGTTGCACCAAATTGATAAATGCATATGGGGATTTACCGGATTCTTATTTGTTATGTCCAACCCCATTTAAATTGTTTAGATAGTATAGTTTTGTTATGCTTCACCTCTCGCCATGCTAACCAACATTTAAATTTGTTGAGTACCTAACCGGGAGAGAACTAAATAATTAATGCGGTGTTTCGTCAATATACAACTTGTTGCATATTGAGCTCCACTTAACTTGTAGGGTTGCTTGTGCTCTTTGCCTTACCATGCCTCTTTAACCCGGACATGCATCATACTTGGTTGTGCATCATGCCATGTTTATGTGTTGGTTGTTTACTTTGTTGTGTGCTTCTTTTCCGGTGTTGCTTCTTCGGGTTGGTTCCAGTAACGTCGTGTTTGTGAGGACCCGTTTGTCTACGTCCGTTTGTCTTCTTCATGGAATCGTTCTTCTTCCTTGCGGGATTTCAGGCAAGATGATCATACCCTCGAAATCACTTCTATCTTTGCTTGCTTAGTTGCTCGCTCTTTTGCTATGCCTATGTTGCGGTACCTACCACTTGCTTATCATGCCACCCATATTGTTGAACCAAGCCTCTAACCCACCTTGTCCTAGCAAACCGTTGATTGGCTATGTTACCGCTTTGCTCAGCCCCTCTTATAGCATTGTTAGTTGCAGGTGAAGATTGAAGTTTGTTCCTTGTTGGAACATGGAGATGTTGTTCCTTGTTGGAACATGTTTACTTGTTGGGATATCACTATATATCTTATTTAATTAATGCATCTATATACTTGGTAAAGGGTGGAAGGCTCGGCCTTATGCCTGGTGTTTTGTTCCACTCTTGCCACCCTAGTTTCCGTCATATCGGTGTTATGTTCCCAGATTTTGCGTCCCTTACGCGGTTGGGCTATAATGGGAACTCCTTGACAGTTCGCCTTAAGTAAAGCTCTTTCAGCAATGCCCAACATTGGTTTTACCATTCGCCACCTAGCCTCTTTTTCCCTTGGGTTAGGCCAGCCCAAGGGTCATCTTATTTTAACCCCCCGGGCCAGTGCTTGTCTAAGTGTTGGTCCGAACTGAGTAGACTACGGGGCCACTTCAGGGTAACTTGAGGGCTGGTTTTACTCGTAGGATGTCTCATCCGGTGTTGCCCTGAGAACGAGATATGTGCAGCTCCCATTAGGATGTCGGCGCATCGGGCGGTGTTGCTGGTTTAGTTTTACCCTGTCGAAATGTCTTGTTGTACCGGGATACCGAGTCTGATCGGAATGTCTCGGGAGGAGGTCTATTCCTTCGTTGACCGTGAGAGCTTGTGATGGGCTAAGTTGGGACACCCCTGCAGGGATTTGAACTTTCGAAAGTTGTGCCCGCGGTTATGGGCAGATGGGAATTTGTTAATGTCCGGTTGTAGATAACTTGAACCTTAACTTAATTAAAATGAATCAACCGCGTGTGTAACCGTGATGGTCTCTTTCCGGCGGGATCCGGGAAGTGAACACGGTTGTTGGAGTTACGCTTGACGTAGGTTGTTATAGGATCACTTCTTGATCATACTTTTATCGATCATGCTTTGCCTTCTCTTCTCGCTCTCATTTGCATATGTTAGCCACCATATATGCTAGTCGCTTGCTGCAGCTCCACCTCATACCTTTACCTTACCCATAAGCTTAAATAGTCTTGATCGTGAGTGTGCAAGATTGCTGAGTCCCCGTGGCTCACAGATACTTCCAAAACCAGCTTGCAGGTGCCGACGAGTCCGTGCAGATGACGCAACCAAGCTCAGGAGGAGCTCGATGAAGATCTTGTCCTTTATGTTGTTTCGTTCTAGTTGATCAGTAGTGGAGCCCAGTTGGGGTCGATCGGGGACCTTTGTCGCATTTGGGGTTCTTCTTTTATTTTGGTTCCGTAGTCGGACCTTGATTGTATCTGGATGTTGTAATGCTTTATTCGTGTAATTGTGTGAAGTGGCGATTGTAAGCCAACTATGTATCTCTGTCCTTTATATATTACATGGGTTGTGTGAAGATTACCTCACTTGCGACATTGCTTTCAATGCGGTTATGCCTCTAAGTCGTGCTTCGACACGTGGGAGATATAGCCGCATCGAGGGCATTATAGTTGACCACCTCGAGACTATTAGTCTCCAGCACCACGTGCGTAAATCCTCTGAGATTTGCGAAGATAACTCCATCTCTTGCAGCTAGGGCTTCAGTGATCAGGGGGTCAGTCACTCCATGGTGGGGTTTACACCAAGCACCCAAAAAGGCCGTAGATGAACGTGCAATACCTCCAGCTCCGCTTTTTCCTTCCTCATGTATAGTCGCCGCATCAGTATTTATCTTGATCTGGGGTAGCTTCAGGGGGCGCCAACCATGTTCTGGCAGCATGATCACATGCTGTGAAGGAATATACAACAATGCCAATGCCTCTCGGGTGAGTCTAACTGAATTTATTGGGTCTAGTTTGTCGACCCGAGAGTACTACTAATGACCGAGGTGACGCTGCATGGTACCGCCTATTGGAATTTTGCTAGTGGGCCTTTGGCCAAAACCCAACAAAATTTTTGAAATTCTTTTGGCCCATTCATGCATACATGTTAGTGGAGTGAGTGAGGCTAAAGTTTAGTCCCACCATGGAAGTTGAGTTAGAGTTGCACCTCTTTATAAGGTGAGCTCTTCTACCACTTGTATGGGCATGAGAAGAGGAGACCTACACGCGCGCTCCTCCTCGCTCGCCACGCCACGCCTCGTCACGACGCACCGTGCCGCGTGTTGGCGGATTGAGCCGAGCCGAGGACAGAGCTATGCATGTTGTCTATATTTTTGCTACTCGAAAAAATTAATGAGTAATTAATTAATAATTAACAGACGCATTAATTACTGAACCATTTTCAATTCTTTTGAATCGCGACCCGCACTATATAGTCAGGCAGACGTCTACCCTAGCCGCAGCCGCTTTGTATGGTTTCGCATCACCGTTCCAGATCATTGCACCGTCAAGCAAGTCTTCTCCATCCCTCCTTTCGGCGTGCACCGGGAGAAGAAAAGCAGGCCTCCGGAACCCCGCCTCTCGTGATCCTGTACGGGAGAGGGGCGATCCGATTTTTGGGGAGCGCACTCGCGCGACTACTGGCATCGACGACTTCACCAACGACGATTTCTTCCCCGACCTCGGCAACCCCATCCTCAACGACATGGGCAACAACGTCAACACCGGCGGTGCTGCACCCGCTGCACAATATGTGATTC